CCTGCTTGAGCAGGAAGGTTGGACTAGATGATCTGTAGAGGTCCCTTCCAACCTTAAATATTCTGAAATATTCTGAAACGTAAGTGGTGCAGGAGGGCAAATCCTAGCARTGTATGATAAAGAGCCACCGTGTGACATTGTCAGCTACAGCCTTCCTCAGGCTCAGCCCAGTTGTGTAGCCCAGACTGGGAACTTTGTGGTACATGCCAGAGATTTTGTACTGCAGCTGCAAAAATGCCCAATATGCTGAGGCTTCTGTGCAGGACAGTAATGTGAATAAAGCTGTGACAGCTGGAACTGCAGGGGCATATCAGTGAGGTGCCTACGTGGCTACTGGGCAGGCAGGTAAATGCCTGTGTGTGTCCCTGTGCATCTTGTTGGCTGCAAAATTACCATTGGCATCAGTGATTTTCATAGGATCCTAGAATGTTTAATGTTGGAAGGACCTACAAAGGTCATCTAGTCGAACCTCCCTGCACACGCAGGGTTACACAGAGCACGGGGCACAGGGCTGCATCCAAGCAGGTTTGGCAGATCTCCAGAGAAGGAGACTCCACAACCTCTCTGGGCAGCCTGTTCCAGGGCTCTGGAGAGTCATGGAGAGGGAGCTGCCATGTGCAGTGGGGGCAGGAGTGTGTTTTGGGGCCGTACAGCTCCCCTGCCTCAGGCCAGCTCTATGGAAAGCAGGAGAGCACAACCTTTACCTACCAGCATGGCACTAACTTGATGCCTACCCCTAATGAACACGATGGAGAGCCCAGGTCTTGCCGTGCCCTTGGCAGGGGTCTGTCAGCAGCACGTCCTGGCAGTGCTCAGCGTTGCTTTCGGGTGTCACGAGTCCTGCCCGAGGGTGAGTTGCAGGCTGGCCCTGTCTCCTCTCTTGAGCATCATCCCAGCTCTCCCACACACCACAGACCCAGCAAGCCCACAGGAACCCCCCCACACCCGGCAGGCACTGCTGTCCGTGGGAAAACAGGAGAGGTGGTGTTTGGAATGAAGCAGCCTGGGAATCCCCCTCCTTTCAGGGCCTCACAGTCCTCCCTAATCCTTTGCTGCAAAAACGTGGAAATGACCTATTCTYGCAGCTAAGAGCCCAAGGCTGTCCTTCTCCTCTGGCATCCGGGTTGTATGTAAGTGATCCCACAGCATGTGCAATAACAGATGAAACCTCAGGGAAATACCAGACCTCAGCAGCAAGTTTGCTTTTTAACTAGTTTCTAATGCCAGGGAATAAGTGTGAGTACTGCTGAAGGATTCCCTTCAGAATCAGAAGCAGCAAGATAAAGATGCAAAGTTGCCAAGAAGGACCTCCAAACTGAACTCAAAACAGCACCTCCTTCTTGCCTAGGGAAATGCAAGGACTGTCCAAAGTGGGGGGCTCAACCCCCATTTCATCCTCACTGGGGTCTTTGAGCACCCTGTGGCCTCAGGCGCAGTTCRTAGCGATGTGTTACACCTGGCTGGGACGGGAGCGCCTGGAGGGTTCGAGGATGGAAGGATCCTGGCCTCCCMGCATTGCCCCTTGGTCATTACATGCTTGACTCCAGCAAGTGCCACTTTCTGCCAGGTTATGAGAGAGAGCAGGAATCCATTTCACATAACGTGTGGCAGCAGTGCCCAACCTGCACAGCTTCCTTGCAGACTGCAGAGTCACTCAGTAGTTTCTCCCACACAAACACYGCTCACAGGGCTTGGGGGTTTACTTAAATATGACTGTTCTGGGTGCAAAACTCTGGGTGCAAACTCTGAATTATTTTACTAGTCTGTTATGGCTTTTTATCTAATCTGTTTGGGCCTTTTTAAAGATGTTTTCAAGATGTGCCTTTTTTAAGATGTTGTATCTATGACCCTAAGATCTTCCTTGTACTCACCCAGAACAAGGTGGTGTTAACTCTTTTAGAAATACAATTATTAACCAGAAGGGAAATCACTGTACTTAAATAAAATGTCCAAGCACATACTCCTCTTTAAATGCGCTTCTAGAATCCTTTTATTTTCAGTATCATTTCAAAGCTTTTCTGTGAGAAATGCCACATCTTATTTCATTGTGGCATGCAGCACACTTAGGAGGGGATGCCACTCATCTATCTTTGGCTATCAAAAATCTATAATCTCCTTTAGTATAGCTGTGTACGCTGCCTCTGTAACCCATGAGAGGCATTTCCAGGGAGGAATTTACCCAGTTCTTAATAGGTTCTTATCTCAGAAGGGATCCAGTTTCCCTCTGAAGCTGCCCATGTCTCCAGGCAGGGAGCTGGGAGCCCATGGGCATGGGATGGGTACATGGAGCATATGAAGAAGATATTGAGGATGTGCTGGGGGAAGGCTGGGGAGGAGATGGGGAGATGTTTCTAGGTGCTTATTGTGAACAGGGAAAGGGATGGAGCTGGGGCAGAGGGCTGGCCCCAGCTCAGGGACAAGGGGGGCGTGTGGAGGAGTGCTGAGAAGCTTTGAGGGGAAGACTCCATGGTTTTCACACCTCCTTCAACCACATCCTCTCCATACGGCCAAGGCTTCCCGAAGTGTAACCGCTGCCTCTGCTCTCTTTCTGCCCAGCTGAGGAGCCGCTCTGCACCCTGCACCCTCCCGGCTTCCTCCGGCTCCCAGAGGTGGAGATGCGAGGCTCGGAGGAGGCGGCCGCGGGCACCGTACTGCAGCGCCTCATCCAGGAGCAGCTGAGGTATGGCAACCCCAACGAGAACATGAACCTGCTGGCAATTCAGCACCAGGCCACGGGGAGTGCAGGGCCCTCCAACAGCACTGCCAGCACTCTCTCTTCCACAGAAAACCTCGCTCAAGAAGAGCCACAAATGCTCCAGCAGTCRGCCCGCCAGGAACCTCAGGGGCAGGAGCACCAGGGGGACAATACAGTGATGGAGAAGCAGGCGCGGGCTGTGCAGCCCCAGCAGAACAACGAAGAGCTGCCCACCTACGAGGAGGCCAAGGCCCAGTCCCAGTTTTTCCGAGGCCAGCAGGCGGGAGCGGTCGGCCCGGGCTTTTACGTGGCCGGCGCCTCCACGCAGAAGTCGAGGACTGAAGGGCGGGCGACGGTGACGCGGGCGCAGAGCGGGCAGGCGCACAAGGACGAGGCGCTCAAGGAGCTCAAGCAGGGCCACGTCCGCTCGCTCAGCGAGAGGATCATGCAGCTCTCGCTGGAGAGAAATGGTGCTAAGCAACACGCGCCCACCTCAGGGAGCAGCAAGGGGCCCAAAGCGGCGGCGCCGGGCGCGCCGCCCGCCAAGGCCGCCGACCCGCGGGGCCCGCCGCCCGAGTACCCCTACAAGGCCAAGCAGGCCGTGGCGCCCGTGAGCAAGGCGCCCGAGCACGGGCTCTTCTTCGGCGAGCAGCACGCGCCCATGGGGCAGGATGGCCTCAAAGCCGCCTACCCAGCTGCCCAACCCGCCCGGACCGAAGTGGCCATCGTTCGGTACCAGCCGCCTCCCGAGTACGGGGTCACCAGGTAATTCTGGCGTCCCGGGCTTGCTCCTTGCCCTCCTGCGTCCTCCTCGGCTGGGCGGTTGTTTGTGCTGACGTTGGTTTGAAGTAAGTTGGTTCTTGTTGCTGTAGTTGCTTTGAAGCAGGTGACTGCARTTGATGTCTGCAGCTTTTTGGTCACGCTGAGGTGCCTTCTTACACCACGATGGTATAAACAGGCCAGCAAGCAGAAATAAATGTCATTTATTCCCACTTAGAGATGTTTGTGGCACTCTGTGCTCATAACGATGCCACCTCTTTCGGTGTCCCAAGGTGTCTGTAGTGCTCGTCACGGCACTGTATGCTCACTTGAGTTCTTTGGTCTGCCTGTCTGCACACATCACTGATAATTGTTGAACCTTCAGAAAACATGGAAAATGCATACTTTATTTAAAAGTTCTCCATTTCCCAATCTACCTTAATTTCTTTTTGCATGAAAAGCTGGAAACATTGATATTTATCCTTAGATAGAGTCCAGTTCATGATCTAGTTTGATGTTACAGGGATGAAATGAAGCCCCATGCTGGCCCATGCAGAACTGCTTCTCCTATTTTGTAATTCCCACAGGAGGTAAATGTTTCAGAAATTCAATTTATCCTATGGTATTTTATCTGAAAGTGAAAAATGCTACTTTTGTGATTTTTGATTTCACTTAAGCCTCACATCCTCAAGATCTTCAAAAGCCCAAATTAAAAAAAAAAAMMARWTTTTTTTTTTAACCTTAAGTCTGAGATAAAGAGACATCTCTATTTCAGACCTTCCTTGTCACTAGATGATAAAAGTGAAATTCTGGTAAAATGAAATTCTTCCTTTTCCAAAGAGGGCCATATAAAGTGTATACATCACTTATGTCCTACTTAAATCTTCCAAACAAAGCTTCCCCGGGACTTTTATGGTGCTTGGCCCCTTGTGCTGGGCCTCTGCATGAGAGCAGGTTTTATTCCAAGCGCATTAAAAATAATCTGAAGTGTTTACTTCCTGTGAGCTGATTCCTGAAAGCTGCAAGGATCCTGCCAAGCGCCGTGGATCCCGCTGCGATTTCCCTGCTCCATGCGAAGGGAGAGGCTGCCCGCAGGGCCACCTGCCACAGCACCGCGCCGCTACGGTGGCTTTCCTGCTGGACATGCAYTGAAGAGTTCCTCTATGTCATCCCACTGCTCTTGGGCCTCTTGGAACAATATTTTGCCAGCCTTGATGGACTTGGCTGGTTCGGGTCATCTCACGTGGCTGTGTTCTCCATGTTGGGAGTTGCCTAACTAGGCCTTTTGTGACCCCGGCCCGGGAGCGCTCCTGGCGCTCCTCCAGCCAAGCACGTGTTTGGGTTGCCAGCGTTCGCTGCCCGAGTCCGTGTAACCTTTTAGAGCAAAATRGTATTTTTAAGAGCTAAGCGAAAATCTCTGCTTATGCTGAGGAACAGCTGTGTGAAGGTGACGCCATGGGGGTCAATGAGGCTCTGCTCTCGGAAGCCGCGTGGGATTCCTCAGGACGCCAACAACGGCTCCCAAACAAAGTGAATGTAGCGTAAAAGGAGCCGGGCGGATTTTCTTGAGTCCTTCCCAGAGGAAGCAGCAGCAGCGGCAGGTCTGGTGGGCAGACCAGGGTTTTCAGACCTCTTCTCATTCCTGTCCTATGGGACTCGGCTCTGAGGGGGATGTTTCAGCGCTGTTCCCGCTGGGTGCCTCGTGAGCTGTAATTCCTGCTAGCAGCAGGATTACTCATGTACATGCTGCAGTGCTCTGTTTGCACGTCACAGCTTGGTAGGGGTGCTTGGGATTTGCTGTTGTGCTCCATGAATCTTGGGCTGTTGCTCTGCAAAACGACTGTGGATGGGGAATGTGTGGCTGGGTGRGAAGTGAGGCTGTTCTGGTTAAGTGGTGGTCGTCTTCCTCATCTTGGGTTCCTGGCATGGTTGGGATTTTTGGTACCAAAATTTTGGTACCAGCACATGGGTGCACAAAATACTCAGCACTGGCACTATCTGGACTTGTTCTTAATTGCTAAGAACTTAYTGGCTTCTCCTCAAGTGCTGTTCCCCAGCTTGTAACTGGCTGTGTGAACTGCAGGTTCCCCTTGCGGCCTTGCTGTCAGGGAAGATTTGGGTGACAAAAGCCTTTAGAAAGTAGCTGTAATCCCTGCGTGCTCATCACTTTTCATCTCTCCAGCTCTGTGAGTGCGTTTCAGCAAGGCTCTTTGTGCAGCTCCATGAAACAAAAGGCAACGTGCTCTGGTGCTTCACTGTGTGGTTCACAGGACACAGTCGTCCAGGTCTCGAATGCTCTTGCTTAAAACACAATTCCAGAAAATCTCCTCTTYCCCACGTACTCGTCTGTATCAAGAGTGTTAAGATAGATGAGCTGTTTGGTGGTGGTAGCTGCCTCTCTGGCTTGAGTCTCACCACATCTCCCTGTGAAGAAACTGCAATTAAATGAGTTAGAAGCCCAAAGTGGGAGGCATCCTCTAAGCATCCCTAGAGAGGAGCTGTGGGGCCGTTATGCCATCCAGTCTCCCCCAGACATGAGCAGGGGAACAGCAGCTTTTCGGTGCCTCTGCCACTGCTCCGAGTTTTCCCAGTTAGCTAGGATCAGAAATCTCTTCCATTTGTTGTGTGGCTGGGAAGAAAGACATCCATACGAGTTGAAGTTGAGGTCTACCCACTTTCATAATGTTAAGAGGAGAGCAGGGTTTGGAGATGCTGTATTTTCTTCTCTGAGGTGAGAAGTTTCAGCTCTTCCCTAGTTGAGAGGTCTGGAGGTGGGGAAGGAAARGAGCTAAAGCAGATAGAGCTTGGACCATGGTCGTGTGGCAATCACATAACCCAGCAGGTCCTGTCCTCTCTCCTGGACATGTCCTACCCGTCCCTTGACCATGAGGAAACCCTGAGGACAGGCACTGTACAAAAGGCTTCTTGCCTTTCCCAACACAGAGGGGTGAAGCATGAAGCAGMTTGATCTGGAAGAGGAACCCATGGATATGGGGGATGGAAAAGACGTAGGGTCATTAATCCCCTCTCTGCTCCCGAGTCATTGTGTGATGAGGAAAACATGGTTAGAAACCCACAAATGTTGGCAGGGAGTTACTGAAGGGGATAAAATAACTGCAGCTGCTGCTTAACTTGCTTTTTTTGTTGTGATCTTTATTTTTATAATTTTTATTTTTTTGCAAGTGGCTGGCTTTTAAGGCACGAACACTGCCTTTATAATCCCCGTTGCCAAATCTTCCAACCTTACTGTAAATTTCCAGATATTTGGTAGTTTCCTGAAGACCCCTGGGAGTCATGTGATGTTGCAAGAATCTCAGCTTTCACATAAATTTGATTTAGTGACCTCTGCTTTATGGATATCATGATTGCAAAGCAGAGCTTGAAGCCTGAAGCTTAAAAGGTCAAAAACGAGAACACAAATAGAAAAGAAACCAATATTTATCCTTGTTTTAAAATACCATTATTTTTAAGGAAGTCACATGATGCTTGAGGCCCTGACTCATGACTTCTGAATGCTTTTTGTTGGCCAAGTGTAATAATCTTTAAAAAATTCCTTTCCTAGATGCTAGCTATTCTTGAATGATGCTTTTGCTAACTTCCCTTAGGTACAGGTTCAGAGAGACACAGACTTCTAGCTAAAGAACTCTGAAATAATCTAATTTCGTCTTTTGCATGGCACCCCAAATTAATTCCAGTTTGTGAAACGTTCAGTCCTGATGATTAAAACATTCTGCTGCTGGAGAACCCATCGCAGCTTTGATCGACTTGTTCCACTAGCTAATTGCCATTCCTGGCAAAGATTTGCATCTTAGTTTGAGTCTGTATTTCCTAGTTACTGGTTCAGATTCTGGTTCGGTCATTGATAACCTTTTGCTCCTCGTGGAAAGGAGGACAGGAGGCTGTTGCAGTTGCAGGTGAACCAGAGGCAACCTCAGCTGCAGTGTCACCTCTGCAACGTGGCTCCATATGCCTTGCATATGTATGCCATAAATACTTGATGGTTCAGGCATTGTCGCTCTGGGAACTCACCGTCTGCCTCGTTATCCATTAAGATACATGAGGTAGTTGTGGTCCAGGATAGAATTTCCTTTTATTCCTAGGTGGATGAACTTATATTTGGACCTGTTCAAGTACATATCATTTCTTTGTGCCCAGCTTAAGCAATGATCCAGATTGTTCAATGCAAACGATAAATCCTCTTCATTGCTACCCGTGGTCCTTCTCACATCCTGATAACTTTTCTCCAGAATGATTAATGATTCCATTAATAAGAAGTGCAATTAATGCAAATAAGGCCTTGAACTGGCAACACCACTGCTTGATGAGGATTCTTCCCTCATGATTACATGCAGAAGTCTTTCATGCAGGTACCTTTGAATTCACTTTTAATTCTGGTTTAATCATGAATTTTTAAAGTATGAAACTGAGGAATGGAGTGGGAATGTTGTAAAGATCATGCCACTTTTTGGGAGCCTCAGAACTCAGTATCCTGCCTGGATACAGAAGCCCATATTTAACTGCCAGAGTAGTATGTGGCTTCTCTGGTTATTTGTATGTTAAAAAAGCCCTGTGTAACTGCTGCTTTCAGGCAACCTGTTTATATTTACTCATTCAGCCACATGTGTGTGGCCAAAGCGGGGACAGTGAAGTCCTTTCATTGGCAGCTCYGTGGCGCCGGGGCTCTGGCAGCGTGGCAGAGCTGATGGATGTCACTGGGACAAGCACCTAAACTGCATCCTCCAAGCTGACTTCTGCTGCTCGTGCTTTGCAAGTTCAGCACAACCCAGAGCACCGGTCAGAAGGCCGCAGCGCCAGGGTGCTGACAGCGATGAGTGACATAAGAGGAGGGAAGGATCGTGGCTCTCTTGGATGATGTTCCAGGTTGTAGCAGTAGTCACTCCAGAAGAGCTTTATATTGTCTCCATCTGGTCTAAATCCATCTGGTTTAAACTGCTTTTCATTAAAATGAAAGCAAAAAAGAAGCCAGCCCGGCAGCTGCAGTGACA